GCAGCGGGCAGAGCAGCGGGCAGAGCAGCGGGCACAGCAGCGGGCACGGCGGCCGGGACGGAGGGGAGTGAGGCTGCGGGGGCCGCCTCGGCGCGGGACCTGCCCCGCCACCGCCCCCGTGGGACGGGCTCGGAGGGCTCTTGGAGCGCCGGTAGCCGCAACACGGCGACGCCGGGAGGCACCGGCCCCGAACGCGGCATCGTGCTGGGGACAAGAGGCAGCCCCGCGCCGAGCCGAGCGGGACCGGGTCCCGAACGGGGACCGGGATCAGGATCGGGACGGGCGGGGAGGGCTGCGGGCCGCCCTGCGGGCCGTGCCGTGCCGCGCCCCGTCGCCTTCCGCCTCGCTCGCCCCGGGCCGGGTGCCAGGACCTCGGAGAGCTCCGCGCCGCCGGCCCGGCCGCGGCTCCGGGCCGCGCTGGCCGCTCTGGTCCTGCCGGGCGGCCCATGGCACCCGGTGGCAGCCCCTCCGACCGGCCGCTCTCCCCCAACTTCTGCGCCACGGCCCGGCCGAGGCGAGCAGAGTCCGCAAAAGCTGCGGACGCTGTGGAGCCGGCCCGGGACGGCAGGGAACTGTCCCTGTCCTCCCGTCTCGGCCCGACGGGACGGACAGGGAGCGCAGCCGCGGGCAGGTCCAGCCGTCGAGGCCGTAGCGACCCCGCCGTCCTGCCCGCTGCGCCCCGGCCCCCAGCGCCCGCGGCTCCGTGGCTCCCGTCCTGGCGAGCTCGGGCTCTGCGGGGCCGCCATCCCCAGGAGCCGCCGGTGCGGCGGCGAGAGACCGGTCAGGGTCCTCTCGGGGCTGTGGGGGTCCGGGAGAGGCTGGCCGGCCTCCCTCCGCCGGACGGGGCGGGCCCGCGCCACTCTTACCTGCCAGGCCGGGGAAGGGGTCCGGAAAGTGCAGCGGCGGCTCGGGCGGCCCCTTGTCGCGGCCCGGGGGCAGCTCCTCCGCCTCCAGGCCCTCGGCGGCTCGCCGGCAGCCGGCGTCGGGGGTGGCGCGCGGCGGGGGCAGCTCCTGGGGCGGGTAGAAGCCGTCGGGGGGCTCGGAGAAGCTGGGCAGGGCGGTGGTGAGCGCCACCATGGAGGGCACTGCCTGGCCCAGGCTGGCGCAGAAGGTGTTGGTGAGGCGGCCGGCGAAGGAGGCGAGCGGGGCCAGCGGCGGCAGCCCCGACTGCAGCGGGGCGTGGGACAGCGCCTGCGGCAGCACCAGCGGCCGGTACGGCATGAACATGGGGTACCCGGTGTAGAGCAGGTGCCCGGAGCGCGGCGGCGGCGTCCCGATGAGCGAATCGATGGAGAAGGCGGTCCCCTGGCCGCCGGGTCTCTGCATGGCGAGCGGGCGCCGCCGGCTCAACCGGCACCAACTTTCCGGCGAGCTCGGGCCGCCGCCAACTCGCCGCTATCCCGCCGCCGCCCCCGGGCCCCGCCGCCGCCGCGGCCCCGGCCCGCGCCCGCCGCCTCCGGTGGGCTCCGGCGCCCAGCGAGAGCTGCCGCCC